AACATACAGCAATAGAGTCACAAGAAAATAAAGCTCCCGGGAAGAAAAAGAAACGAGCTTTGGCCAGCAATACCAGCTTCTTCTCTGGCTGCTCTCCTATTGAAGAAGAGGCCCACTGAAAATGGACTTGTCATCTCTCTCCCAGTCTGCCTTGAGAGAGCCTTTCAGGCAGCAGCCAGAATGTTTTTTTTTTTTTTTTATTTTTTGATTTTCAGTTTCCTGCTGTTGCACAAAGGGACCACATATTACTGAAAGAGGGAACCTATTGGATGTTGGCAGTCAGTCTCTAGCACCTCAGCCCCAGACTACTACTCCTCTTCTCCAGAAAGGTGCTAAGCTACCTGCTGAAGTGAAGAGAGACCAACTGACCTTTCCAATGACTCAGCAAGAACCAGTCCCCAGTATAATCTGGCCCTCTCTTATTTGTGAGCATTTAAGACTGTCTTCAGATGGGGATGAGGCTGAGACCGTCTTATTCCTAGGTTGTCTCAGCTGAATGGTGGAGCTTGGCCTAGGGTAGAGTCCCGGAACCCATCCTTGACTCCATGTCAGCAATGAGGTTGGGGTTTGGGGGTTGACCATTTTTAGGTTGTAAATGCTTTATCTATACCCTCAGTTGTCTTCTGTGTTACTGAAGTAAATGAAATCTTTTTAAATGTTAATGTTAAGTAAATAAATAAATTCTAGTTCATCTACTGTTTGGAAAACTGTGCTAGAGAGAGAGATATAATTTCAGCCTGTGTTCCTCAGCCCCTGTGAGCACTATTGAGTCATACAAATATTCACACCTTCCTTCCCTCTTCCCCAGAGGAGAGTATGGAATACCAGTATCTTTCCCTTGGAAATGAGAATGATGAGGGGCAAGGCCTGTGACCTCCACTGTAGCACCTGCCTGCAGTCCAGATTTGGGAAAAAGGAACTATATTTACTAAGTATCTCTATAAAATTGTGCTTGCCACAATTTTATTTGCTCCTCACAAAAAAAAAGTTCAAGATAGATAACTATTCTTATTTTGCAGATGAGAAACTGAGATACAAAAAAGTACCGTCCTTAAAGTCACAAAGTTACTAAGTAATAGTAACAGACTGTTACTCCATTCTGGGTTCTAGAACTCTCCAAGAAATAGAAATAATGGAGATTCTAATCCTGCAGGTGTCAGGTTAGAATTTATTGCCACTTAGGCAATTCAGCAAAAGGTAGTTGGCATCAATGACGGTCTAGATGCTGCTCCCTGAAAAGGTGAAGGCTCTACGTAATTTTAACCCAGCATAACTAGAGGGTAGAGTCTTTCCTTGGCTCTTCTTTCCATGTGGTCATTCTATCTCAAACGTGATCACCTCATGCCTGTGACCACTTCATAGTGGATCAATCCCATGTCATTAGCCTAGAAGTTTTGTTAGTGGTAAACACTATTTTGTCTAAAGTATTGGGGAGGGGTTTCTTCACATTGGATCACATATCATTAGCCTAGGGGGTTGTTAGTGGTAAAAACTCTATTTTATCTAAAGTATGTATTGGGGAGGGGTTCCTTAGAGGCAGGGACAGTCACTATCAGAGTGTGGATAAGTGAACTTGCCTCCCATTTTCAGTGGAGAAAATGCAGCTTTATAATGACGTGGGCAGCTTCTGTCTGAGTTAATGTCCAATATCCTGGAGTTTAATGAAATCCACCAGTTCCACATTCCTATCAAGGACATGAATCCAAGGTTTAACACCAAAGCTTCTGTGTGACTCTGAAGGAGTAGTAATGGATATTCTAATGTCCTGAGGCCTAGCATTTGGGGAGCATGGGCATGGAACTGTACCTCAGAGTGGAGGGTGTGGCTTCCTCCTTAATATGCATCAGGGTTCTCCATCTCTGCTTAAAGCTAAAAGGGGGCCAGCCATGGATTACCACACACAGGCTGCCAACTGGCCTTGCAGTGTTCTGAGGCATTTACAGCTTCATATCTATGCATTCTGAATCCTAGCCTGCCTCCCACCACAGTCCCCGCCCCAAAAAAAATAGTTCCCAAAGCAACCCTCAGAACTAGGCACATGAAACGTAAAATTCCTCAGAATCCACCAGAGCCCAAGCACAGGAAACTGACAAACAACCTGTGTAGAATAAATCCTACAGGGAGACTAGGTGACTGGTCAGTTCTCTCTGGCTTCCTGCCAGCAAGCAGCCCTGCTTCTCATGCATGTTAATGCTGAGTGAGCAAGGGAGCCTCTGCCATTGCCAACAAGAGCCCCTGGATACAATGGGAAGGCAGAGAGGGAGGGGGCTGTCTCCTGGCATAAGAGAGCCAGTCTTCCTTCTCGCCATTCCAAATCCTGTGTGAGGGGGGAGGGGTAAATGGAGCTTATTCCCACAGAAGACATCCTCTCCATCTATACTCTAGCCCAGGCTTCAAACCACTGCATCAGCCAAAAGATAGAGCAGGATGGTCAATTCACCCCAGCCCCCAGTCCCCAGCCCACCTGGAGCCCAGTGCTTTAGTGCTAAGCTGATGCTACATGCGTTAGCCAGTCCTCTCCTACAGTATCATTAGCAGATTTTTTTGTATGTGTTCATCTCCCAAAAGCTCCTGACTCTGACCCTAACATACATTCCTTAAATGATTTTTGGAAAGAGACTTCAAATGCCTTGGGGACAGGAATGATACAAGTCCTCACCATGAATAAGTATCTCCTGTCTGAGTATATGGGAAGATGGGGTGGGCAAGTGTCAACCAGCATCCACAGGCCCATGGGGCCCCCCAACACAGAAACAGGATGATCTGCTACCCAGACTTAAGGGAGTAGTTGCAACTCTGTCTCTTCTACATACACCATGCAAAAATAGAAGTAGGATTCCAAGAGGGGAGACTGATCAAGCAAGGCTGTCCTCCCAGGGAGCTTGAGACAAGATGCTAGACTTACACATGCATACCCCTTGGTGGGGTGGGGGAACTGCCTGGGCCCCTTCTCACTGTCAAGTTGCAAACATTTGTGTGGTCACCTCCCCCAGTTTCCCGCCAGCCAGTGCCCTCAGCCCTCGCCTCCCGCCTCCTTGAGCAAGGACAAAGCCCCAGCAGTGACAGGGGAATAGGAGGAGGGACAGAGGGATGGGGAAGGCTGCATAAAGGAATTCCTTGCCCCAAGCCCCCTGACCAGAGGCAGCAAGTAACTAAGCAAGCCGTATCTGCTGGCCCTCCCTCTCCTTGCTCCAATCCTGTCCCCTCCCTACCCCTGGGCTGGGCACAGACCTTAGAAGGCCTTCAGGGAGGGCCAGTAAAGCTTCCTGTAGGTGGCAACACTGCCACCTGTTTGACCGGTAGCTGATCCAAGGACTGAAGAGGGAGGAGGCAGACAACTCGGAGAGGAGCTGGGAAGCTGTGCAGTGCAGAGCTGAGTGGAGCTGCCACTAAGAAAAGGTGAGAGCTTGGGAGAGCTGGGGTCCACATGTAGCAGAAGGGGGTGGAAATGAATCAAGCTGGTATGGAACTGGCCCAGGGTTTGAGCAGCAATCCTGCTCAGCTCCCCTGACTGGGGTTTTCAGCCTGCTCAGCTCCTGATCCCATCCTATTGACAGCAGCTGGAGGGAGGTGGGAGTCTGGAAGACAGTGGCTGGGGGCCAGGGCCAGGGCCTGAAGGTGCAGACAGAGCCCAGGGCAGGGGACTGTAACCTAGTCCCTGAATGAGAAGAGGCAGGGGCTTCCTCCCATGGAAGGCTTTTTTTCCTAGGAAGGAGTTCCAGGAGGGGAGAGGTATCCTTTCCGCAGCAGTAGCTGTTTCCCTAGATTAAGCCCCCAACCCCTACACACCCTACCTTAAGCCTTTCCCAAGGCAAACTGGGTGGGGAGTGGGGGGGGGTAAGGAGGGCAGTTTCAGGAGCAGTCACACCCTTCCTCCTTCCTTTCAAGGACCCAGCACCTTCCTAAGATTTTACAGTCTCAGGGGAACCCAGATGACAAGGGGTGGTGTCCTTCATTCCATGCACACTTTGCATATACCCAGGGCTCCCTTATAAACTCAGATTCATCTAGGAACCCATCTTTACTGGCAGACACGAATGTGCACACATGCACACCCAGCCTTCTTTGGAGATCAGCAAACCATCTCAGTATCAGCCTGACCCAGAGGCACAAGGTGCAGGGATCACCTGCCCCAAGACAACCACATACACCTTTGCCCTGTGCTTCGTGGACTTCCACTTAACTGAACTCAGAGGGTGGGGCTCTGGAAGGGGGAAGGCAGGGACAGGGTTCCTGGCCTGGGTGGAGGATGAAGGGCAGGATGAAGGGCAGGACACAACTGGGAAGAGAGGGCTTGCTTGGATCTCTGTGGCCAGGAAAAGGGTTCCTTTAGAAGGCTTGGGGTGATCCAGAGAAACTGTTCCCCTCAAATCTTCCTCTTATTAGAAATGCCCCTACCCACTGTGAGGTAGGAGACAGAGGATCTTTGAGTCAGGGCTTTGTGAAGTGTGCAATCTGTATCCATAGCAACTGGCCAACTAGCTAGGCTTCCCTTAGCCCCAGGTCAGAACTGGAAGTTCTGCTTCAGTTTCCTCTGGGTTCCTGAGCTCCTCAAAATGCAGCTGCTTCATGCTTGACCAGATCTGCCTCGTCTTGCTAAATTGAGTTTACCCCACCTTGCACAATTTCTCCTAAGTCCCTACCCAACCCCAGCCAACTGGCTATCCCCAGAGTCAGATGCTGGTAAATGGGGAAGTGTTGGAGACAGTGTGTGTGCCTCTTGCCTGCAAAGAGACCAGACCTCCCTGGCATCCCATTGACTTTCCAGGTACTCAGATTAAAAAGACTCCAGTGGCTGTCCCCCTCTGCTCACCACCACCTCATCCAACATGGCCACAGGCCTGCCCATGACTTCCATTGCTGAGCAGTGGCCCAGGCCTCCTCGCTTGTATATTTCTTCCCACCCCACCCCCTGCTCCAGATATACTGGGAGGAAGGCTGGGAAGTGCCTCCTGCCAGGGTCCCTAACAACCCAATGTGCTTTCCCCCAGGCCCTCACCATGGCCCAGTCTGCCCGCTGCTCCGTCTGGGCCCACTGCCTCCACAGCCTGTATAGCTGCCACTGGAGGAAATGTCCCCAGGAGAAGATGCAAATCAGCAAGGTGGAGTAGGGGATGGAGGAGGGGGGTTGGAAGTCAGGTGGAGGCCACATGAAGGGGATCAGGAGGTCTGAGTTTGTTCAGAGGCTGCTGTGGGGAAGGGGTTCTTTCTCCCCAGGAAGAAACTCAAATATGAAAAGAACTGCCTCAGAGCGGAGCAGAGCATCCCAATGCTTGGCAGAAAGTTTGGCAGAAAGCACCCCTGAGCTGCCATCCATTGGGGACTCTGAACCAGAAATGGGGATCTGCTGTGAGCTTCTCTCCTGTCTCTGCAGTGCGACTGTTTCTGGTTTGGCCTGCTCTTCCTCGCCTTCCTCCTCTCCCTGGGTTGGCTGTACATCGGGCTCGTCCTTCTCAATGACCTGCACAATTTCAATGAGTGGGTCATGCACCTCCCCTTGCCTTACAACCTTGTCAGCTTCCTTCCCACCCTAGGAACCCTTGCCCACCCCCATCACTCACTCATCCCCAGCCCTGCCCAGGTCTCCTGCTACCCAACCTCCTTAGAATATCTATCCCAGAATCCTCCCCAATCCTTGAAGTCCCCACAGTCCCTTTTTGTCGTCCTGCTGGTCCGCCCACACCCACTCCCGTTAGGTTACTATTAACACCCCTTCTCCACTTGTACACCTCCTTCTCCCTTCGCACAGATTCCTATTCCAGCAGTGGGGACTCTGGATGGACTGGTCCCTGGTATTCCTGCTGGTCATCTCTCTGCTGGTCACATATGCATCCCTGCTATTGGTGGGTTTGGGAGCCAGTCAGCCTAACCCCCACCTCAGCCCTTCCTTCCTGCTCAGCTCTACCCTGGCCATGGGTCACCGAGGGGAGGGGAGGTGGTATGCTGTCCCGAGGGACCCTCAGTGACCCCTCTGGGTGCTTCATCACTCCCACCATCCTCTACCCCCAGCTCCTGGCCCTGCTCCTGCGACTCTGTGGCCAACCTCTGCACCTGCACTTTGTGCACAAGGTAGCGTGGGGTGGGAATGACGGGACATGGGACCCACTCAACTCAGCTCCTGGCCAGCTGGGTACCTAGGACCTCACTACTCTATCCCTGAGCTGGAACTCAGGACCTGAATCTCAGTAAATATTTGTTGAGTGAAAGGGGAAAGGTGGATGCTGCAGGAAGGACAGCTCTACAGTCTGCAGGGGCCGACAGGAGCCAGGGAGCCATGAGCCCAGGTTAACACAGAAGACACGCTCATCCCTGAACCACCCCCCCACCCCCGCCAGGTGCTACTGCTCCTTGTTATACTTCTTGTGGCCATTGGCCTGGTGGGACTGCAGAAACAGTGGCAGGAGGAGTGGCAAAGCCTACGTTTGTCACTGCAGGTGAGTGGCTGATCTCTACCACCTAGGTGGGAGCTTTTGCCTGTAGCCAACTCCAAAACATATGTTGCTCCCTGATCATCCAAGACCACAGGTAGCTCTGAACGCCAAAAGCCAGGTCCTAAGAGGAGAGGGGAAAAGGCACCAGGAAGAAGAGCCCTCCTCACCACTTCTTACCCACAGGCCACAGCCCCGTTCCTTCACCTTGGAGCAGTTGCTGGCATCACCTTCCTGGCCTGGCCCGTGGCTAATACCTTCTACCGTATCCACCAAAGAGGTGCCAACTCCACTCCCAAAAAAAACACCCATAAAGGCCTTCAATGCTTCTGCTTCTCATGCATGATCTGTCACCTGCACTCTGCTTTCTGCCCCCAGAGCTTATTCCTGCCCTTTTTCCACAGCCTATCCCCCTACTCATCCCCACAGGTCCCAAGATTTTGCTACTGCTCCTGTTTTTTGGAGTTTCCCTGGCCATTTACCTGGTCCCCTTATGCATATCCTCACCCTGTGTCGTGGAAACCAGAGACTTGCCCCAGAAGCCTAGCCTGGCAGGACACCGAGGGGCCCCCATGGTAAGTGTTGGGCAGAATGCTGGAGGGCAGGGCTCCTGCTACCAGGCCCGTGAGTTCCCAAACTCCCACACTTCCCTGATACCTCCTCACCAACTACTTCCAGCTGGCCCCCGAGAACACCTTGATGTCCCTACGGAAGACAGCAGAATGTGGAGCTACTGTGTTTGAGACTGACGTGATGGTCAGGTGAGGGAAGTTGGGGGGGGGGTGAGGGACACAGCAGGGGAGCTCCAGAAGAGAGGACCAGCTCCAGAGATTGGCACCCTGATATCCCTTGTTCTCTCAGCTCTGACGGAGTCCCATTCCTCATGCACGACGAAAACCTGAGAAGAACCACAAATGTGGCCTCTGTGTTCCCAGACCGAATCACTGCCCACAGCAGTAACTTCTCCTGGAATGAACTAAAGAGACTCAATGCCGGGGCCTGGTTCCTAGAGGTGAGTGAGGTCAACCTCTGGGAAGAGGCAGTCATTCACGGAGGCACTGGAGCAGAGTCCACTCATGGATAAATATTTGCTGAATGAACTCCATGCCAGGCAATATGCACAATCTCTGCCCTCAAGTCACTCCCATCCAGTAAAGCAGTAAGCATAAGCACCGTGCTATCAGGGTATGAAACCCAGATGCTAGCAGTATATTTGCAGTAGAGAGGAAAGAGAGGCACTGGTCGGCAGGGTGCAGGTGGGGAAAGACGCCTTAGCAGCTTACAGAGAGAGCGTGGTTTTGAAAATGGGCCAGGCAGGAAACAGGAATCCAAGTCAGAGGAGATGCCAGATACAGCCCACAACGATGGAAAAAAAAGTTCCCAGGGAACAAAAAGTGGCTCCATAGCACCGGCAGATCAAATTCATGAGAGTAGTTATGGGTAGTAGTGAGACTGGCCGGGCTAAGCTCTCCGAAGGCCCTGAATGCCAGACCCAGAGTGTAGACTTCAATCCCCGCAGCTGATGGGAAATGCCTAAAAGGATATTTTTTTTTCCAGTTCCTTCCTCTCTGATCACAAAAGTAATATGTTCCTTACAAAAAAAAAAAGGAGGGGAGAAAACCCAAAACATTAAAAACTGAAAAGCCTCCTATATTATCTGAGATACTCACTGTTAACACTTGGGCACAATTCTCGTGTGTGTGTGTGCGCATACGTGCATGTGTGTGTATGTATGCATGTGTGTGTGTGTACAAGCAATGCGCACAGTGTGTGTGAGTGTGTGTGTGTGTACATATATGCACATACAGGTCTCAATTTGCACAAATAGGATCACTACACATATACTTTGGCAAGTTGCCTTCCCCCCCATTTAAGTATAGGTTGACACACGAGAATGATTAAGGGCAGGAAATGTCTGGGCTTGAATCCTGGTTCCACCAGTTACTAGCTGTCTGAGCCTGGGGAACATTCCTTAATCTCTCTGCGCATCATTTTCCTCCTCTGGAAAACGGGGATAAAAACAATACCTACCTTGTAGGATTAGTGGGGGGATTATATAAATTAATACACATAAAGTGCTGCTACCACCGCCCAATGCATAGTGAATATTTAATGCATACGTTAACCACAAGCTAGTTCCATTTCACAGGACAGGAGATGAAGTCTCCTGTTGATTACAAAGCAGGGAGATGATAATGGTAGAGATTTGGAATAGGAGGAATGTGAGAGGGAGCACATCGAGGATAAGCAAAAAGATGGCCAAGCAAGACTGAGAATGAAAAATATGACACAGTGTCGACAGTCTACCTGGTGCTCAGAACTATAGTTCTAGGGGTGGAGGGTGCAGACAACTGGAGAGTTGCATGCGAGTTTGGTATTTGTGGGCAGATGGGGCAGGAAAGGATTGGAGGGTGCTGGAAAAGTAATTCAAGCTGTGAAAGGACCCTGAGTAGGGGATATTGGTGCAGCCAGAAGGGTCTGCTGGATTAGGAGACCAAAGGATCAAGAGCCCAGTGTCTCTGTGCAACCAAAGAGAAAGTGTAGCAGGAGAAAGAAAGTCAGCAAATGGGGAGAGTAAGAAACTGGGGACACAATAAGGTACTAGAGTAAGGGCCACAGAGTAAGGACGAGGGCCACAGTTTAGAGAAAGACTGACTCAGAGTGGAGAGAGTGCTGGCCAGCAAGTGGGGGGAACAGCGAAGACGATGAGAATGTGGGTTGTGGGGGGCTAGCCTGCAGTCTTCTTTTAGTCTTTCAAAGTATTTTTCCTTTGCTTATAGAGGCGAACTTTCTGGGATGCCAAGCAGCTGTCAGGCCCTGATCGGAAAGAGGCAGAGAAGCAGACAATACCCACACTGGAAGAGCTGCTGAAGGAAGCTGCAAGCCTCAACCTTTCTGTCATATTTGACTTGCGCCCTCCCCCAGAAAACCACACATACTCTAACTCTTTTGTGAACCAGACACTGGAGAGTGTGCTGAATTCAAGTGTGCCCCAAGCCATGGTGACGTTGCCAGGACACCAAGTGCCCCTCTAGCCCTTCTCCCCATCCCCCTACCTCCCCTAGCATAATGACCTATGAGCCATTTTGAGGTGGCCCTGCTCCAGAACTCCACCCCAACTCATATACCCCACAATGTGATCAAACCTCTCTGCCACTGCCCCCTGCCCCTGGAATCCCTAGGCCTTCCACAGCTTCATGCCCATCTTCCCTGAACAGGTCTTCTGGTTACCAGATGAAGATCGAGTTAATATCCAACGGCGGGCACCTGGAATGCGCCAGATATATGGACACCAAAAAGGCAACAGAACTGAGAAGCCCCAGTATCTCAACCTCCCCTACCAAAACCTGACACAGTTGGACATCAAGTGAGTGCCAGAGGAAAGCAGCTGAGAGGAATCATGTGAAATTTTTCAGGCCAGGAAGTGGCAATGGTAGGGCGGAGGGCGGGCAAAGGCCATTCATTCCTTTACTCATACAAGAAATATTTATCATGTACTAGCTATGTGTCAGGCACTATTTACTGCAGGCTTGTATTACATTCTAGTGAAATAAATAGATAGTAAAGGAGTGAACACAATATTTGCACATTGGATAGTGATAAGTGACCTGAAGGCAATAAAGTGGGGAAAAGTAGAAGAGCAGGGAGCACCTCTGCGAGGGTGGGGCTGGGAAGGGCTCCCTTAGGAAGAGTTGTTAAAGAGGTAGTGTCTGAACTGGGACTGATGGGCCACAGGGAACAACGATAAAAGCAGCAGAAAGTAGGAACAGCAGCACTCAGGAGCATGGGAAAGTGAAGCTGAAGAGCTAGGGAAGGGGCCAAAATTGGGTCGGACCTTGTCAGCATGAGAAGGATTTAAGCTTTCATTCCATACCAATGAAATAAGTGTCAGAAAGGATGGAGCCATGGCCCTCCCTGGTGGTGCCATGGGTTAAAGGGCAGCACCACGAAGCTGGCCACAGTCACTACAGCACAAGTTCGAGCCCCAGCCAGGGAGGTGACCCGCCTGGCACAGCAGACCTCTCCTGTCTCACCTCTGGCTCCCCTAAGCAGTGTATTTCGTCAATCTGCCTGTTCTGCTCCTCACTCTGACTCTTGTGAAGCCTCTCACTGCCCTTGCACCTCTGGCCTGTACCCCAGTTCTATATGCATAAATAAATCTTTAAAAAAAAATGAAAGGATGGAGTCAGGGGAGAGAGGCATGAGACTCTCAGACCTGAACTGGGTCCCAGAAGCTGGCCCAGCCAGTCAACACGATAGGCTTCGAAACATGTAGTTAGCTGTAAGATCTCTTATAATGACCTTGTGGTCAGATAGAAAAACAGTAGGCTGAATGAGAACCCTGATATCATAAGTATTTCAAGGAGCTTTTCCTGGGTTGTCACCATGGTGGGAGCCATCACATCAGGTTTTTTCTTTTAAAGATTTCTTTAATTAGGCACACAGAACTGGGGTAAAGGCCAGAGATGCAGGGGCAGTGAGAGGATTAACAAGAAACTGGGGAGCAGAACAGGCAGATGGACAAAGTACACTTGAGGGGAGCAGCGGGCAGGACAGGAGAGGTCTGCCACACCATGTGGGTTACCTCCCTGCTGGGGATCTAACTTGTGCTGCAGTGGCTGCAGATAACTTCCTAGTGCTGTGCTTTAACCCCTTGTGCCACGAGGGAGAGCCCCGGATGCTGTAGTTTGAAAGGCACATTGGTAAAGTGAACTAAGATCAGATTTGAAAGCTTTGTATGGTAAAGGGAACAATAACTCAGATTCCAAGAGTCATGGTGGAAGGAACCAGGGAAGCTGGAACTGGAGAGGAGAAAAACCAGGGGCACGCAGTCACTATTCCAGACCTCTATGGGGCTACTGTGGGGCAAAGAGGAGAGACACGTCCATGTGGACAGACAGCAAATCTGGGACCCATAGGCAGAATTTACCTGGTGACAGGGCTCAGCTATGCAAACAAAATCACTTTTGTCTGGGACTTTAATGCCAAGGTAGAGCTGATAGTTCCTTGGTAGTGACACTACAGATTCTAGCACAGATGGGGGCTGCCTACCATGCCTTGTGCCCCACAATTCTAGATATTCTTTGTTTGTTCCCCACCTCCACAGAGCACTGCACGAGGATAACACTTCAGTGAACCTATATGTAGTGAACAAGTCCTGGCTCTTCTCCCTCCTCTGGTGTGCAGGGGTGGATTCAGTCACCACCAACGACTGCCAGCTGCTGCAGCAGATGGAGCGCCCTATCTGGCTTATGGTAAGGGCCCTGGGACTGACCCCTCCACTTCTTCCTCCATCCTTGGATCTTCTCAGCCCTGACCCTCCTTTTCTTATTCCCCCCTCCCCCGCCCTCCACTTCTGTGGGACTCTGGCCACTGACAGGGGCATTTTCTCATTCCCATAGTCTCCTCAAACCTACCTAATAACATGGGTCATCACCAATTGTGTCTCTGCCTTGCTGCTCTTGGGGACCTTCCTTCTCCAAGGGTAAGCGCTTTGTGCCTCAGGGTTTTTTTTTTTTTTTTTTTTGGCCTTTATTTAATCTTCAGGTGCCTGAGAGCTTGGGGTTTAATGCATCTAGTTCCTTTGAGAGTCTTAGACCCTACCTTATGCATCAAAATGGCTTAAACGCCATTTGGGGGAAACCTGGGTCAAAAAGTTGTGCTTGAAGCTGGCTGAACTCACAGTGGGAATCTTTTCTCCCCATAGGAGATGTGCCAAGGAAGAAAAAAGAACTGGTAAGAACTTTTCACCTTCACCCCATTTTCCTCCTCCAACAACCTTCCCCTTGCTCACTCCCAAAATGACCCCTTCTCCCACCCTCCCCAGGTGTAGAAACAGCAGTGCTGCTGACCAGGATCAACAATTTCATATAGGAGTGAACATCCTGTCCTGGTCCCCACCAGCAGACCGCAAGGAAGGGAGAGTGGACTCTTGAGGTGGACTGTTGATGGGGTCGGGGCAGGGTGAACATTACCAGCAAGAGGTCTTGGGATGTGCGAGTCCTCTGCCTAGTAGGTGAGCATGGCCTAAGCTTCCATAGAATTTGCTTGCCTTGAGGTTTTGATCCGAGATGGTAATTGGGAGGACGGTGACTCATTAGAAGTTTCACTTGGGGAGGAAGTGAAACGGAGATTACCGAGATAATGTTTCAGAGCGATGTGCAATGTATTCACGTGTCAAAGGCTCAGGTTGTCAGGTATGGAACAGGCTGGAACAGTGACAGAAAGAGATAACAAGAACGGCCATTTCAGACGTCAGTGATGCAGACGCCAACCCCACTCCATTTGCTGTCTCCCCTAACCCCTACAATTTAGCAGCGCTCCTGAGCAGAGGTTGCGGCCTACGAAGACCATCTCTCCATGTACTTCTGTGCCAACAGCAAGCTTTTTTTTCTGTGCATGGCATTTTCAAGACAGGTTGGTTCCTGCCTCTTGTCTGTTAATCTGTTATTCAATGAACCTAATCACATTAGGTCACAGTCTAATTTTTTCTGTGCTAGGACTGACTGAAAAATGCACTTTCCAACTAAGGTTGGGCGTGACCTGATACTGGGGGAGAGTCGGAGTTTGCTGGGGGCCGGGAGGCCCACCGGGGCCCCGCGGGCAGTAGAAGGAGAGAGGCGGGAGAGCCGCCATCATCGGGGGCGTGCCGGGCAGCCGAGGCGCGCCGCGCAGCCGAGGCGCGCCGCGCAGAGTTGCGCTGTGGCTCCACCTTGTGGTCACCTGCCGTAAGAGGCGTGCCGCGGCGGTCGCCATGGTCCCGTTTCTGCTCAATGCCACCAGTTTCCCGCGCCGACAGCGCGCCAGTGCCCTTGACCAGAGACCCCGAGGGCACGGCCCGATTCCCACAGGTTTTCGTTACTCTGGGCAGCGCTCCGTCCCTTCCAGGAGCAAGGTCCTCAGTGTGCTGTTCTGAGTCCCTGGGCTAAACGACAAAAGTGACCAGTGGGGAGCTGGCTTAGGATAGAATGGGCTGGAAGGGTGGGAAGCGGCTACGGCCATAAAAAAGGAGACTGGGGCTCTGCGGCCGATTCTGAAACCCCCACCGCACCACCGTTCGCCCGGCTCGGGTACCCACGCGAAGGAAAAGCCCGGCGGTCGGCCAGACTAAGGGATGGGATCGGAAGTCGGGGAATTAAGGAACGGCAGCTCGAGGTGGCGTGTGACGGCGGCCAGAAGGCTCTAGCAGGGTCGGGAAGGTGGTCTTCCGACTCCTGGTCTCTCGCTCTACTGGGGCCGGGGTAGTACTAGCACCTCCGGAGCAGACTCGTGTCGGAGGCGGGGCAGCCCCGCCCCGAGAACTACGCTTGCCCCGGCCACTTCCGGTCCCCCGCTGGCCGGAAGCCAGTTTGAATTTGTGTTCCCGCCCCCTTCTCTCCCTGCTCCCGCCCCTCCCTTCCTCACCGCCCCGCCCCCACCGTGCTGGCACTCGCACGTACACTCCCTGGCACCTGTGCGCGCCGACTTACCTGTCCTGCAGCTGTGCTGGGCTGGGACGCTGGGGTCCTGGACTTCTCGAGCTCCGTGCCGCTTCGTACCGGGCAAGCCTGCTTACTCTCTAGCTGACGTTCCTTAGTTTTCCGGCTTTCAGATCACGCCTCTTAATCCGGCAGAGTGCCGGGCGGGCCAAAGTTGTGGGGTTCCCGGCCTGACTGGGACCGCCCGGTCTGACCTCGCTGCCTGCCTCTCCCCCCAAGCCTACAGTCCTGCGCCCACCCAGTTGCTCCGTCCACTGCCTGCAGTCTCTCCCTCCCCTCCCCTTCCTACCTTTCCCTGACCTCGTGGGGGGTCTGTCTGGTCATAGCAACCTGGAGCTCCCAGGCCCCCAAACTGGCAGTTGCAGTTCTGTAACTTCAGCGTTCAGACCCTGGCCAGAATGCCAGGACGCAGGCATAACACCCAACTCCGTGCCTCAGGGATTCGGACCTGAGCCTGCCACCGCAAATCTTTCCTCTTTCCCGGAGGACTGGACAGCTCTGGGGCTCTGAGCCTCAGTGAGGCCCTAGACTGCAGACTGACAAAAGCTCCAGGGCGGAGGGCCAGGGGGAGCTGCTCATTGGGGTTCCAGTGCAGTTGCTTTCCGTTATTTTTAGCTGCTGACTCACAGCTCCTGGCATCTGGGTTTGGGGCTAGCAGGCTGGGCTAGGGGCCTATTAATAGAGCCCAGCACAGCTCCGACCCAGTTCAGTTTGGAAGCAGGCGGAGGAAGGAGTCTCCCCCTGCCATTATGCCCCGTGGAGATGTGGACTGAGCAGTGGCAGAACCAAACATTCTTTGACTGCCAGTTCCTCTGCCTGGTAGCTCTACCTTGAAACCCTTAAGGGAAAGCCTACAGCAGGACTAGAGGCGTAGCTCTCCCCTAAGCTTATCATGGCTTGGGGCTCTGCTACAGTGAGGCTCCCCTTGAATAACAGGGTGAAGAGATGAGTCCTCAGGGGAGGGATTATTGTGGTCACAACCTTGCCCTGCCTGGACCTACTCCTAGGATGCTAGGTTACTAGGAGGATAAGCCGTGGATTTTTGGTCCTCAAGGGCTCTCATAGGAATGGGGTTCTTCAACACGGTCCTAGCAGAGGAGGCACAGAGCCAGGAATTTGCTAACCCCAAACCAGATTCCGCATTAAGAAACTACTGAATTATGTTTATCCCCTCCCGTACGTTTTATTTCTTTCTTCTTGGTGGTCTCTGCCCCTACTCACAGGGGTCAAGAGACCTCAGGATCTTTCACTGCTTTATACAGAAGCCTCATTCAGTAAAGCTTGACTCCACTGAAGTATATATATTTTTGTATATTGTCATTCCTATGGGACCTTTTTGTTTTATGGGCAAAAGTAGGAGTTTCCTAACTCATGCATTGGGAATGATGGGGAAATCTTGATGCCTTACTGGACTAATCACCAAAATTATTCCCATCCACAACCAGTATGCTAGAAAACCCACTTGCAAAGGATACACATCCACAACAAACTTCCACCTTCAACAGCCCTGGTCTCTGGTCCCCATGTGAAGCCAGATGACTTTGGGGCAAGAACTGTTACAGGGCAACCCAACATAAATTGGGTTTCCTGTCTGTGGGTCCTCACCCACACACTTTATCAACTGCATTGCAGAAACACACAAAAAGGTCAATAATGGGTTGATTTACAAGGGAAAAGAAAAAGAAAGGAGGCCCTCCCTGGTGGTACAACTGGTTAGATGCAGCACTGCAAGCTAGCTGCAGCCGCTTAAGTGTGAGTTTGATCCCCAGCCATGGAGTTGATCCACACAGTGCAGCACCTCTCCTAGCCCGCCTGCTGCTCCCCTCAGCAGTGTACTTCGTCGATCTGCCTGTTCTGCTCCCCACTCTGTCACCTGAGTACCAGGTGAATCCTCTCACCACCCCTGCACCTCTGGCCTGTACCCCAGTTCTGTATGCATAAATAAACAAATCTTAAAAAAAAAAAAAAGGAAAGGAACAACCCAGGGAAAGAGAGAGATACAAGTTAACTAATGTGTCCTACCAGTTCCGCCAAACTGGAACCCCAATAGCATACTGAAAGTAAATGAAGAGCCAAGTGACCAGCCGCCAGCCGCGGGGCCAAGAGAGCGAGAGAGACCCTCAGCCCAACATGTCCTGTTTTATATCCAAAACCCAAACTGGCGGTTTAACTCTGCCCTTGGGTCCTAGCAGTCATCACTTTGGTGTTGCTGGGATTTGTAGTTTTGGTGTCTGGAGTGGGGGTGGAGTCCACAAAACCTGTATCTGTAAAAGTTTGTTCAGGACATCCTTTTCCCCTATGAGTTCCCCTTTTGATTTTATACCACCATATCTATGGTGGCATAGATTGCAGGACATTGTCTTGAGTGACAGTCTTCGTAAGGTTTTTAGTGAATGCAAAAGAAGCAGCAGTCATCATCATTGTCCATGAATGCCTAGTATGACAGTCATTACTGGAAAATAGTCTATCAGTACATGTGAAAAAAAAAAAAAAACTTCTAGTATATATATCAAAATCACAGGCACAAGCAAAAATCTTTAAAAACTGGTTTAACTTTTCTAAAACCATGTTCTCTCAACCTTGATCCCAACTTTATCCAATAATGCACAAACTATGTACAAAATCAAGCTACCTTTTAATTATTTTTCTATTTTTGCATAAAACCACAGGGCAGAATAACCAAGCAGCAATTTTTAGCTGGCCTTGTTGGAATAATCTATGTAGTATCAGCGAACAGTCAATGTCTGGTCCACATGGGCTTCAGGAACAATGTTAGTCTCAGCAGACTCCACCTGAGGTTTCTGCTTCTTGATGTTACCAGAACTAATTATTTTTCTGGGTTTTCCAGTCTTGCCAATGGAGGCAAGCTTCCTCACCTTCTTTGGAGGTCTCTGGAACCCTACAAACAAAGCAGCAGGTTCTCCTCTTCTTGCTTCAGCTCTATTTGAACTTCCTGGAGAATACCAAGCAAAGCCACTGAAACACATTTCCAATTTCTTTAGTTTAAGCAAACAAAAGTCCCTATAGACGTTATGCAAAACAGATTCACAAATAGTAAAAATTACTACTACAATTTTTATACTGTCTTGGTATCAAGGGAAGAGAAAAAATGGAAATACAAATTCCATTAAAAAATGCAACATTATTGTAAATCCTGGTCACTCAAAACAAGAAAACTTTCATTGAATCAAACAAGCAAACTAACAAAACTTAGTAAAAATCAGTCTGTTCAGTTCTTTGTAGGAAAATTTTTCCACCTTCAAAAGTTCAGTCAATTGGAATCAGTTTAGGTCTTTTACTGGAAACAAACAAAAAAATTTTTGTTGTTGTTCCTTCTTTTTCTTCAGAAACGATTTCTGTAAACAGCAAACCATTGAATATAGTATTGCAGGATAATGATCAATGTTCACAATGTACAGACATACATACATTTAGCATACATATCAGATACTGAAAAGTTTTTTCGAAGATTACTTATGCATACAGAACTGGGGTACAAGCCAGAGGTGCAGGGGCAGTGAGAGGCTTCACCAAAGACAGAATGGAGAGCAGAACAGGCAGACTGACAGACTACATTGCTGAGGGGAGCAGCAGGCAGGTCAGGCAAGGTCTGCTGAGCCATGTGGATCACCTCTGGGACTGGGGCCAGGGATCGAACTCTCACTGAAGTGGCTACCGCTAGCATGCTGTGCTGCGTCCTAACCTGTTGCACCACCAACAAGGGCCACTGAAAGGTTTTTTTATGCACATTTAAGAAAAAAAGCAATTGTGTTCATGCCAAAGCTTTACCTTTTCCCCCAAGTGGCAATGCTTCCTTCCCGATTTTACTTTACTAGGTAAAACAAATTGGACAAAGTAATCTGAATACCTTTCCCAGGAGGAAAGGGAGAACTTTTGTGTAGTGTCTTAGGAGTTCTACTGAGGTTTCACAAAATTTCCTTTGATGAACCACTGACAGACTACTAAATTTTGCTTCA